GCCCTCTGAGACCATGAAAACATTCGTGAGATCTGCTAATGATAATCCTAAGACTTTAGAACACAGAAAGTGAGAGCTAGAAAGGAACCCAGCCCAGAGAATGTCAGAACTGGGAGGGCCCTTAGAACACAGAAGAGAGAATGTCAGGGCTGGAAGGGAACTTAAAACATGAAATACAGGATGTCAGAGCTAGGAGGGACCTTAGGGCATAGAACACAGAACGTCTGGACTAGAAGGGAACTTAGAACACGGAACACAGAATGTCAGAGCTGGGAGGGACAGTAGAAATCATATTGTCCCATGTGACAAGGAAAATGAGGCCCACAGAAGTAGGGGGAAGGGGAATGACCACACAGAATCTCAGAGCAGGAAGAAGTCCGTACGACCGTCCAGCCCATACCACACTTGACAAGAACCCCCTTTCCAACATATATAAACAGTGCAAGAGCTTTTGCTTGAAGAACTCCAAGGAGGAAAGAGCCTACTCCCTCATTTTTTTTCTTTTTTTTGACGAGGCAATTGAGGTTAAGTGACTTTGCCCAGGGTCACACAGCTAGTGAGTATCATGTGTCTGAGGCCGGATTTGAACTCAGGTCCTCCTGACTCCAGGGCCGGTTCTCTAACCACTGTGCCACCTAGCTGCCCCTACCCCACTCCCTCATTTTAAAGATGAAGAAACTGAAACCAAAGAGGATAAATGACTTGCCCACAGTCACACAGATAGTAATGGCAGACAGGCAGGATTTGAACCTGTGTCCTGCCTTCAAACCAGTGCTCTTCACCCAGTGCTCCTAATTCTGCCCTGTCAGGCCAAGCAGAACAAGGCTGACTCTTCTTGTACACAGTAGACTTTTGCACCAGACTTGCCCAAGGTCACACAGCTAGGAAGTGGAGAAAGCAGGTCTCCTGACACCTGGTCCAAAGCTCTTCCCCATTACTCCCAGGGTCCCAAAGCAGGTATTAGAGATCTCTGAGGACCTTAGGAGAGTTAACACCTCCTTCTCCAAGAAGGAACCCCAGAACATCTCTCCATCATGCAGAAGCCCGAGTGAAGAGAATAGCCCGCCTCAGAATGTGATAAGGCAGGGCTGCACGCCTGGGCCCTAGCCCCAGAGCACACCTCACTCTGGCCAGAGACCCAGGAGTCGGCTATTTGGGGCTGGGGAGATCACCCCACCAGCATGTCGGCCCCCAGCCCATTCTTCCCCTCTCCTGCAGGTCTTCATTGCCCAGACGGTCCTTCAGAGCCCACCAGTGATGCTGCCCAGTGGCCAGCTGCCCCGGCATGCAGAGCGTTTGCTCCTCATCTACCTTCGGGTGGCCACCTGGAACCAGATCCTGGACCCCTGGGTCTACATCCTGTTCCGCAGGGCCGTGCTGAAGCGTATCTACCCTCGATTGACAGTTCGGCGTTCCATCCCCTCTCTGGAAACAACCATCCCCCACTCTCTGCAGCCCAAGTGCACCGAGGAGCCACAGCTACAGTAGCCCCAACTGGAGAACAGGGGGCACAGAGGCCAATCAGCACTGCTGGTGGCAAGAACACTGGGCTGTCTAAGCACTAAGTCTGGGAGGGGGCTGCCATCAAGAGAACACAGATTCCAGGCTTAGCAAAGTGAAGCAGACGCTGCATTGTGGACATGTGAACAAGGGGGGGGAGTGAAGTAGGAGCAGGGGGCTTGGGGTCAGAAGGCAAGCCCTAAAGAGATATCTGGGTTCAGCACCCTGGACCCCTGGGGACCTTGTGCTCTCCACTACACTCCTGCCCCCTCCTAATAATTAAACTCCCTTACCCATCCTCCCAGTTCTCCATCGGTCTGATCTGATTGATCAAGTCTATGGGTGGGGGGCGGGGAGGGCATTCAGGGAAGATTGGGGGGAGTGGAGGAGTAGGCACCCTGGCTCTGGTCACTATCATGATCCCTGTTTTGAATGGAAGGAAAAGAGGGGCAGGTTCTGAGGACCTTGATGGGCCCTTGTGGCCTTCCTACCCCCATTTTAGAGATGAAGAGACTGATCCAAGGTGGGGGAGAGACTCTGTAGGTCACAGAAACACAGAATGTCAAAGCTGGAAAGAAACCCTGGATTCTAGAACAGAGAATTCAGGAACTGGAAGGTATCATAGAGACCAATACCTTCATTTTACAGATGGGGACACTGAGTCTCAGAAAGACAAAGTGACATGCCTAATGTCACCCAGCGAGTTGCCGGCAGAGCCAGAACCAGAACCCCAAATCGGAATTCTTTCTTTTTTCCAGGGAAAGACCCTGGAAAGGTCTTTCCACACATACCCATACCCCTCCCTACTCCCAACCTCCTACCAGCCTTCTTCCTTTAGCCAATAAGGACACATCCAAACATAGGAATTGCTTTTAATCTCCACATGCCTCAAGATACAGATAGAAGCGACTAGCTGAGCACTGGGGGGACCTAGATGTCCCTTCTCCCCAGTTCTGGATCCCTTTACGGGCCTCTGAGCCAAAGACTCAGCACAGGCCAGAGCCAGAGGAAACTGAACCCCCTGTTTCCATCTGGCCCCCCCGGCTCCACTTGATTCCGATATCTCCTCCTGGGCCCTGGCCCCAGCTCCCTGGGATCCAGGCACTCTGGGCAAGAGGAATAGAACCACCTTGGGGAGGGGTCTGTGACAACCCACCCTGACCAGGAAGGGACCCTTGAGGAGTAGGAGTGGTCCCCCGGATCCCAGAGCAGGACTTGGGGGGCCCTGAAGGAGGATAAGGGAGAGGACCTCGGGTTAGAGGGATAGGGACCGGGGGATTGTGTGGGGAACTGGGCCGGGGTCTGGGGCCCAGGGTGGAGGGGCCTTGTCTGGAGGCCTGCAGCTGAGGGTTGGGGCCTTGAGCCAGCTTCAAAGGGCTGACAATTTGGGCTAGCTTCTGGGGTCCAGAACTCTGAGCCTGTTTGGGATCTGGCATCTGGGGCTCAATGGTCACAGCTAACTTTTGGGAACTAGAACCCTGAACTTGCTTTGGGGGGTCAGATGCCTGTGCTGATTTCTGGGAGTCTGGGGTATCAACCAGCTTCTGAAGGCCAGTGCACTGAACCTGTTTTGTGGGGTCAGAGATCTGGGCTAGATTTGGGGGGCTAGAGAACTGAACCTGTTTTAGGGGGCCAGAGGGCTGAGTTGGCTTCTGGGGGACAGAAATCTGATCCTGTTTGGGGTCAGAAGGCTGGGCTAACTTCTGAAGGCCAGAGCAATGAGCATGCTTCAGTGAGTCAGAGGGCTGGGTTGGCTTCTGGGAGCCAGATAATTGAGCCTGTTTTGGGGGCCAGAGGGCTGAGCTGCCTTCTGGGGAGCAGAAAACTCAGTTTGTTTGGAGAGATCAGAAGGCTGAGCCAATTTCTGTAGGGTAGAATGCTGATCTTGTTTTGGGTCAGAAGACTGGGCTGACTTCTGAGGGTCAGAGCACTGAGCATGTTTTGAGGGGTCAGAGAGTAAGGCTGGCTTCTGGGGGCCAGAGAATTGAATCTGTACTGGGGAGTCAGAGGGCTGAGCCAACCTCTGGGAGCTAGAGAATTGAACCTGTATTGGGGGGTCAGAGGGCTGAACCAACTTCTGGGGAGCAGAATGCTGATCCTGTTTTGGGTCAGAAGACTGGGCTGACTTCTGAGAGCCAAGGCACTGAGCATGTTTTGAGGGGTCAGAGAGCAGGGCTGGCTTCTGGGGGCCAGAGAATTGAGCCTGTTTTGGGGGGTCAGTGATCTGAGCCAGCTTTGGAGGTACAGGGGGCTGGGTCTGCTTTGGGTGGTCAGATGGCTGTGCTAATTTCTGGGGGCAAGAGAATTGAACCTGTTTGGGGAAGTGAGAAGACTGGACTGGCTTTTGGGGGCCAGAGAATTGAGCCTGTTTTGGGGGTTCAGAAAGTTGAGCAGGTTTCACCAGACCAGAGAACTGAACCTGTTTTGAGAGATCAGAGGGCTGAGCCACCTTTTGGGGGGCCAGAAAACTGAGCCTGTTTTGGGAGGTCAGAGAGCTGAGCCAGCTTCTGGGGAGCAGAGTTCTGGGTCTGTTTCAGAGGGTCAGAAGACTGGGCTGACTTCTGGGGGTCAGAGAATTGAATCTGTCTTGGGGGATCAGAAGATTGAGCTGGTTTCAGCAAGCCAGAAAACTGAACCTGTTTTGGAGGATCATAGGCCTGGTCTAACTTCTGGGAGCCAGATAATTGAGCTTGTTTTGGGGAGTTAGTCATCTGGGACAACTTTGGTGGGGCAGAGTGCAGTTCAGCTGACTGTGCTAATTTATGGGGGTCTAGGGTCTTATCCAGCTTCTGAAGGTTAGAGTACTGGGCCTGTTTTGGGGGATCAGAGATCTGAGCTGGCTTCTGGAGGCTAGAGAACTGAGCCTCTTTTGGGGAGTCAGAAGACTGAACTGGCTTTTGAGGGTGATAAAATTGAGCCTTTTGTCGGGGTTCAGAAGATCGAACCAGATTATGAAGACCAGAGCACTGAGCCTGTTTAGGGGAGTCAGAAGGCTGGTTCTGTTTTGAGGACTCCAAGGGCAGGGCTGGCTCCTGTTTTGGGGGGTCAGAAGTTTGGGCTGGCTTCTGAGGACCAGAACCCTGAGGCTGTTGGGGGGGCTCAGAAGGCTGTACCATTCTCTGGGAGCAGGTTATCTGAGCTAACTTTGGGGAGCTAGAGCCTTGAACAGGTTTTTGGGAGCCAGGACACTGAACTTGTCTGGAGGGTTCAGAGGACTGGGATGGCTTCTGGGAGCCAGGAATTTGGGCCATCCTCTGTGAACCAGAGGGGTGGGCTGGCTTTCGGTGGCCAGAGTACTGAGCTTGTTTAGGGGTGTCAGAAGACTGGCCTAGCTTCTGATGGCTGCACTGAGGCTGAGCTGACTTCTGCAGACCAGCTTTCAAAGCCTGGGTTGGTGCTTGGGGCTGGGGGACTAAGCTGGGGGTCTTGGGCCGGGGCCTGACAGGCGGGGGCCGGACCAGGGTTTCTGGGCCATCCTGGGTTTCAGGGTTCTGGGCCAGAGACCTGCCTAGCCGCAGGCTTCCTTGGCCTCTCCTATCGCTGCCCACACTTCCACCACAAATTCGTCGGGGAAGGCAAACTCGCCCAAGACGGAGTCCAAGCCGCGCGCAAACTCCTGAGCGCTCTGAGTTTCTTTGGACGTCTCCACCAGAGTTGAGGCTGAGGTAAAGGTAGAATGAGGTGAACCTGGGAGCCACAGATCTCAACTCCCATCCCTCCTATCTCTTGACTCTCATTTTCTCCTGACCCCATCCTCTGATCCGTCTCATCCTTCACCTCCATCTGATCCCATCCCTACCATCCCAGCCATCCACCACCTTCCCCTGGCTCCAGACTTCAACTAATCTCTTCTTTCTTCCCTACAACCCAACCTCCTGGGACCCTCCCATTCCTCCCCTTTCCCAACATCTCTCTGTCTGTCTCACTACTCCCACATCCCCTTCCATTCCCCTGCCCCTCAGCTCCAATGGCCCCACCCCACACTGTAGCTCCCAAAGTCCCTTCCTCTCCCATTTCCTTCTATCCCCCAGCTCCAATGGCCCCTCCCCACGCCCTGTGGCTCCCACAGCCCCTGCCCCTCCCCAGGGTCCCCACAGGCTTACCCTGGCCCCTTACCCAGGTCTGGGTCCCGGATGCCCATGTAACTCTCCAACAGGTCATCCACCCTTCGGGCAGCCTCCTCCTCAAACTCACTGGGCTGGGGCAGGAGGGAGGGGGTGGGGTCAAAGATTTGGCCCCCGGTCAGGCAAGGTGGGGAGCATCGTAATCCTTGGATCCGACTATACCCTTCCCTCTCATCTCAACCTCCACTTCATCTTGGGCCCATTGGGGAAACCCCAAGAATCTGGGTGCCTCCTTCTTTCCCTCCCCACCCCACTTACCACCTCCTCCACTGTGGCAGAACCCTTGGACCGGAGGCGAAGAGTCTCCCTCCCACTGGTCACCTTCCCCTCCCCAGGGCACTTGCTGCTCCGGGTCCTCTGACCAATCATATCTAGAAGATATAATGTAGGAAAGAGAGTCAGGGGAGGAAGACTCTAAAACTAATATTTATATTGGTGCTCTCTAGAGCACCTACCCTGAGTAGGGCAAGTCTAGAACTCCTTCCTTGTAAGCACTTAAAAGGCCTGTAGCTGATTTTCTCTAGAACCTGCTGTTCTTCCAGATCCTGTCCCTCACAGGCAGCTCTAGAACTCATGGTCATTCCACAGCTCTCTCCCATGGGCAGTAGACAGCCCTGTGTCCCCCAAATGTCTCTAAGATCCACAGTGGTTCCAGATATCCTACTCCACAAAGCAGGGACTTCCATGGACATCTCTAGAAAATCCTTTTTCTGGAACACTAATCCTACCTAAACTTGCTTCCACAGCATTATTCCCTGTCCCACCACCAATTCAGCTATTCCAGAACCTGTTGGGGAACCACTTTCAACTGCTCTTGAATCCAAATGGATGGCATCATACATAGAAAAGAGCACCTGCCTCAGAACCAGGAGACCTAAGTCCCAGTCTAGTTATTCAACTTGCTGACTTTTGGACTGTGGCCAAATCAGTTAGCCTCTCTCAGCCTCAGCTTCCTCATCTGTAAAATGGGGGTGTTTCTATTTGTGCCACCTTCTTCAGCTCATCCAAGTGCTATGTAAACTTTAACCACTTCAAGGTTTGGCTTGGGTGATTCCAACCTTCATGACTTGATGACTTCAAGTCCATTCATGACTTGAGATATGGCTCCATGAATTGCTATGGCTGAATAAAAGTCCTCACCTCCTGGCCAAACTTCAAGAGGTATGTGTGTCCACACTTCCCTAAGCCAGTCCTGGCACAACAGACATACAGCCAACCCTCTAATCCATTCTTGGTAGGACTCAGTTTATCTCTCCAGCTTGAGTTCCTTTAGCAGAGCATTATGAGAGCCCACCTTTTGGAGGTAAAGCTTAGATACTGCCGTTCCACTCAGGTCCTCCTTGGTGAAGAGGCGACCCTGGGCTCTTAAAGAACATGGCAGTGGGGCACAAATTCTGACAGGTCTTGCTAAGGCAAAGAGGTGACTAGATTGTACCAAGTATGGGCTTAGAGACAGACTATATGTGTGACATTGAGCCAACAGTGCCAAGAGTTTCATCAACAGACAACTGGTCACCAAGTAATGAAGCCACAACCAACCACAAAGGCCATCATGAAAGGGTCAAGGTCTATCCTCGTAGGAAAGACCCATATTGATGAGATCCAGGATCTCTGAAGAATCAGAATGTCAATATGACTTCTTCTGTCATTAGTCCCCAAATCCATCTCCCTGCTGCCCTTAGAGCAAGACTGCTGCTCTAGAACTTGCTTCCTTTCCTGTTTCTCTCTGGACTATTTCAGAAGCCCTTCCACCATGAGCTTCCTTTTCCCACTAACTTCCTCACCAAAGGCCCTTTTGGGCTGCACTAGCCTCAAGGTGAAGGGCTGGGCCTTGGGCAGCTCCCGAAGCATCTTGGCCACCTCATAGTGTCGGCAGCCCACAATGGTCTGGTCATTGATGGCCTCTATGCTGTCGCCCACGCACACCGCCTCAATCCGGTTAATGATGCTTCCTTCCTTGATCCTCTGTGGGGAGGAGGACAATGGTGAAAGGAAGAGTTCCCCACCACCCCTTCCACTCACCTCCTGAGCCCCATAGCCCCTGAGCATCCAGCCCCATCATCTGACCCAAAGGCTTTCTGAGCATTCTTAGCAAGGGAACATATCCCACATCTCCCCACTTTCTCCCAACCTCCTGGTTCAGTGATCTCCAAACACTCATAGTAGCCAAGCACATTTCCCTGGAGACTAAGGATCTCTAAGCACTCAGAAAACAAGCTCATCTCCCTTGAAGATAACATATTTTTCAGCATGCCTAGTGACTCATTGACTGAGAATGTCACTCTGGGGATGAGAGATCTGTAAGCATTCTTGGTAATCAGGCACACCTCCTTAGGGATGACGAATCTAGGGGATCTTTAAAGATTCCTAGAGACTAAGGGCTAGGGATCTTTACACTTTCAGTTAACAAACACATCTTTCCCTCTGGGAGCGATCTCAAAGAACTTAGTTGCCAAGCAAATCTTTCCCCTGGCCAAATTTCCCTCAGATTGGCTAGGGATCCCCAAGGGCTGAGGACCAAATTTCCTCCTGTTTTTGCCTTTCCTAGATTCCAATGCCTGGCACCCAGGTTCCAAGTCTACCCTCCTCTCCCCTGTAGTACCCATTCTTTCTCTTCCAAAACTCCCACTGGTCTAATTCCATTCCCCCTAAGAGCTCTCAAAGCCCTGGAGAATAGGGAAGCATCCACTTGCAGTAGAGCCTGAAGCTCATCTGTCCCCAATAGAATGTAAAAACCTTGAGGATGGGCACTGTGTCATTTTTGTCTTTGAGTCTCTGATACCAAGAACAGCATCTGGAACATAGGAAGCACTTACTAAGTGCTCATCTATTGGTTGAGGCTGGAGATAAATAAAGAACCAGGGATTATGATGGGAGTAAATGACAACCACTAAAAGAAAAAAAAAGAACTGTGGTTTGTGGATAGATTTCACAGGCCCCAAGAACTTGGATGGGAGGGAAAATACCTTATTTTTAACTTCTAACTGAAATTTAGCATTCCTTCACTTATTTAAAAAATATTATTTCTGAGAAGTCATCGAGTGGTTTGCTGAGGGGAAAAATGTTTGCACAACACACTCTTAAACTTAATTTATATCATTAACATTTTCTCCATCACTTTCTTAAATCTGAGTAATCCAATAAAGCAAGAAATTTAGCACTGATTTGTAGTGTTTGTGGATTTCTGAGGTGTGAGTAATCACACTGAAAATTTAACAATTAGCTCAGTGAGCTGGTTAGGGCTGGCTTCAACATACTCCTGTCATAGGCTTCATTAGATTGCCAAAGAAGTCCAGAAAAAATGGTTAGGAACCCTTGATTTAGGGGAAATATCAAAAATGGTACAGGACCTGTGGTAACACTGTGAAAATAGATCCATGCTTTTTTTTGTGGGGGAAAGTGGCAACTTTAAATAATTTCACTCCTATCCTCAGAATCAGTATCTCATACCCTGACCATACGGTGTGTGGGGTGAAACTGGGGGAAGGGGGAGGAGAAGGGGGGGTCAAGAGGTTGCAGGGAGTGGGGAAGGTCCTGAACCTAGAATATCAGAATTGAAAGGGCCCTTAGAATATAACATAAAATGTCAGGGTTCAAAGAGGCCTTGGTTAGATCAGAGAACTGAAAGGGACGTAGGAACCATTTGGAACATCCTCTTCATTTTACAGAGAGGCCTATTTTACCATTAGGTCCAGAAAGGGAAAGACATTTACCCGAGCTCATCCAAGAACCCAGGTCTCCTGACTTCCAGCCCACTGCTCTTTCTGTTGTCCAGTCCCCAATACCTTGATGAAGGCATAGCCCGCCCCGTTGTCTGTGATGGTGAGCCCCAACGCATCCTCTGTCTTCGTGACCTCCACCTCCTTAGTCTCACCACGTACATGGGCAAAGATAAAGTCCTCCAGACCAATCTGGCCCCCCAGCAGCTTCTGCATGTCCACCTTGTGGCTGTTGAGAGTGCAAAACAGAATCTGCCTCCCCACCAAGGAAATGGGGAGAGAGGAAGCCACATGGTTATCGGGAGATGTCTGGCCTTCACTCCCCAGCCAGCCCCATCCCAGAGTAACCTAAGCACTGGTCCAATCCCATTGGAATTCAATCCTGTCTGAAGACTAGACAAGTGTTGTACATTCTTTGGGCCTCAGTATTTGAGTTAGATGCTCCCTCTTTCAGAACAGAGAGAGTCCTTAGAACATAGAATGATAGAACAGGGAAGAGCCTTAGAGAGAGTCCTTAGAACACAGAATGATAGAATAGGAAAGGGCCTTAGAGAGATTGCATATGTTCTAAGGATTTTCTCTAAGGCCCTTCCTTGTTCTATCATTCTATGTTCTAAGGACTCTCTCTGTTCTGACTCTCTGCGCCAAGCTCTTCTAGCTCTGACATTCTATGTTCTGAGGCCCCTCCCTGCTCTGACATTCTATATGCCAAGTCCTCCTCCACCTCTGACATTCTATGCCCTAAGGTCTTTCTTGACATGCTGGGTTCTCATGTCCCTCCCAGCTCTGACAGTCCATGTCCTGAATTCTTTCCAGTTGACATCCTACGTTTTGTTCTCCAAGCTCCTTCCAGCTCCAGTGCGCTAGGATTTCAGGAGTCTAAGTGATCTACTTGCTGGGAGATACAGAGCAGGTGTTATCATTTCCATTTAACAAATGGAAAAGGGAATGCCCAGACAAAGGAAGTGACTGCCGATGGTCACACAGCAAGCCAGCTGCAGAGCCAACACTGAATCCATGCCTCCTTATACCACCTTGTTATGGTCCACAATGCTCTGGGTCCCCCAAAGAATTTAAAGAACAATATTAAGGAATGCCCTTCTCTTCCCCATGATGTTCTTTGCTGTCCCTTAGAGTGTTCAGTACTTTGGAATCCCCTCTCTTTCCACAGTAAGGTTTCCAAATGCCATCTCTATACATTATGCTTCTGACCACGCAGGGTCACTAAGACAGAGGTACTTAGAGGCAGCTAAGTGCCAGAGTTGATAGGGTGCTGGGCCTGGATTCAGGAACACCTGAGTTCAAATCTAGCCTCAGAAACTCATTAGCTATGGGACAAGTCACTTAACCTCAGTTTCCTCTATTGTAAAATTGGAACAATAGCACCTACCTTCCAGGGTTGTTGTGAGGATCAGATGAGATAATATTTGTAAAAGTGCAAAAAATTAGTGCAATGCCTGGCACATAATAGGTGATTGATAAATTAATAAATATTCCCTCCCTCTCTCCCACTTGGAGAGTTTTCTTTGATTCACATTTCCCCTGCATTATTTCTGAATCAGCACCATCTATTTACATCAGGTTATGACTGGGAGGGTAAATTTAGAGCTAGAATGGAGTTCATTTGAGTCTGACTTGCTCATTTTACAGGTGAGGAAACTGAGGCTGGGAGAGGTTAAGAGAATTACCCAAGATCAGAGGTCAATAGTAACAGAACAGGAAAAAGAAGTGAGGTCTTCTAACATCCTCTTGACTAGATGCTAGAAAACACACTCTTGTAGCCTGGAGTGTTTGGAGACAGAGAGGCAAGGGAAGGAGCAGCAGATGCCAGGCTAAGGCATCCATTATGATGGTGGTGGCAGCAAAAGGGGACAATTTATCTTCCTTACAAAGTCACTAATGTGAAAATATGTTTAATAGGAATGTATATGTATAGCCTATATCAGATTGTGCACCATCTTGGGGAGAGAGATGGGGAGGGAGAGGGAGAAAAATTTAAAACTCAAAAGCTTATGGAAGTGATTGTTGATAAATCAAAATCAATTAATAAAAAACTAATAATAATAATAAAAGGGGACAATTTAGAGACTAGGGTAGATCTACAGGGCTTTGAGCACTATGGGAGCTCCGCAGGTCTTTGTCAAACTGCCCTGGATTGAGTCTCTGACCTTACAGAGTCGAGCAGGTGCATTCGAAGGCTAGAAGTTTTATTAAGATTTTGATCTGATGATGGTCAGGAATCAGGGAAAGTTTATAGCAAACAAAGTCCTGGGGCCAAATACAAAGTCTCCAGATCAGCTAGGGGTGGGAGAAGAGTACAGAGAGTCCAGGGATCCAGCCTCCACTGCCTCATCCTAAACATGCAGCTCCAGAGGCTCCTTCCTGCCTCTCCTCTTCCTCACAGCCTAGAGTTCTGAGTGGATCCTGCTGGCTCAGAATAGATCTCCCATCCCCACTCTCCAGCTCTTTCTTTTCTGAATCTCTCCTAAGATCACCTGTACCCCAATTTCTGGTGACTGAGTGTCCCTATCTCAAAGCTGAAATCGTACCTCCCCCCTCCCCAGGGATACTCTGCCACCCTGCTGGAGATGCCCATGATTCCCCTGCGGTCTGGAGATGTCAGCCCCTGGAATCTGGGATTGCTAAAGCTCAGCTCAGATAAGTGGATACAGCACTGGACTGGGAGAGAGGAAGACCTGAATCAAAATCCTGTCTCAGGCACTTACTGGGAGACCCTGGACTAGTCACTTAATCTCTTTCAGTCTGTTTCCTCATCTGTAAAATCAGCTGCAGAAGGAAATAGTAAACCACTCCAGTATCTTTGCCACGAAAACTCCAAATGGGGTTATGCAGAGTTGGACAAGACTGAACAACAACAACCATGATCAAGCAACATTTATTAAGCCCCTACTGTGTGCCAGACACTGAGCTAATCAATGGGGGTCAAATGAGATCACTTTATAAACATCTTCAGTGCTATAGAAATGTGGTCTATTGTTATTGTTAGTTGTAAAGCATTTTCCATACCTGATCTTTTTTGAGCCTAAAATGACTCTGGGAGGTGGGTAGGATCATAGGATCAGAGATTTAGAACTGGAAGGGACCAAAAGGGTTAAGGGACTTATCCAAGGTCACACAGCACAGGTGAAGAGGCAGAAATCAATCAACCAATAAATATGCATCAAGCACCTACTATATGCACTGTGTTAGAACACAAATACAATGAATGAAATTATCTCTGCTCCTAAAGAGTTTACAAAACTAACATGTTTTCATTACTATCCCCATTTAACAGATGAGAAAACTGAGGGACAGAGGGAAATGACTTGCTCCCAGTTAGTAAGGATCAAAGTTAGGAGTCTCAGGGCTCCAAAGGCCATTACTCTTTCCCTACGCCACACGCCCCAGGAGTGAGCTATCCGGATCTCCACGGATCTAGGACCCACTACCCTAGCCAGGGATCTAAGGACTGGGATGTGGGATCAGCTCACCTCAGTGGGGGAGATGCCGAAGGCTTCGGCAATCTTGGCATACAGCTCCCGGACATTGGTGAAGCCTTCAATCTTGCCCGTGGGACTGCCATGAGCCAGCTGGGTGTGGAACACCAGTCGGGGCCGGATGCGAGGGGCGCTGGGGCCCGGCGCTGCCTGCTCAGCAGGTGAGGGAGGGGGTGGCCGGGGGGGCAGAGGGCTGGGCCCCCTGTGCCTCCCGGGCCCCTCCACTCTCCATGGGCTTGCCCAGCCACACAGGGGGCCCCAAGCGTCCGACGGCGCCGGCCGGATCCGGGCTGCTTCCTTCCCCCCCTTCCCCTAGCCGCCCCCGCCTCCTCCTGCTGACAGCCGAGCTCTGGCCTGTAACACAAGCCCAGGGGACAGCGGCAGACACAGGGAACTTGATCCCGGTCCCAGGTAACTGACACCTAGGGAGGGAGGAGCCAGTGAAGGCCCAGGTGGTGGTGGGGGGGCGGGACCCCGGTGTCTCTGCACCTCTGACTGCTCAGTACTGCTGCTCCCTGTCCTGGGGCCTTCACAGTTGGTACCCAAGGGGGGAAGGAGGATCAGATGGGTCCTCTGTACTCTCCTCACATGGAATCACTGTCAACTTAGAGCTCATCCAGAGTAGCTACCTTTTACCAAGGAAGCTGAGGCCCAGACAGAGAGACTTTCCTAAGGTCCCAAGTCAGGGCTATGGCCCTGAACCTAGGCAGGTGTTCTGCCTTCCCACCGAAGATGGTTTCCCAAACTTCCTTGTTCTAGTCAATGCAGGGAAGAGAGCTCCTGGACCTGCAGTTAAGACGCTCGGCTCTGTCCACTCCCTTGGGTGACCTGGACCTGTTTCCACTTCGGTAAGATATTACCTGCCTCATTCCCAAGAGGGTCAGGAGGTTTAGAGATAGCCCAGATATTATCATGCAAATTGGGGGGACTGTTGAGGCCTGAGGCTCTGCCAGGTCCTATCAATCCCCAGGTAATGAGACCTGCCCTTACAGGGGCCAACCCTGCAGAGGGTTGTCTGAGCTGGGGTGAGACCCGACCAAGGGTAAGTCAGTAAGTGTGGGGCCTTCGGAACCCACTGAAAGATCTTCTAGGACACAGCCTGGAAACAGCACCCAGAGGCCTGCATGGCCCAACCACCTAGGCACAGAACTAGAGTCAAGGTGGCTGCTGGCCCAGGCCAGTTCTTCCCTTTTATCACCCCCCCCCCACCAACAAACTCATCAGACAGAGACCCACAAATGGATTTGTGCTGAGTCCGTTTTTATTTAAAAAGTTGATTACTGTAGTCACAGCTGCTGCTTCCAGGAAGGCCTGCGGGCTATAGAGGGGAGCTGCCTGGCTCCCTATGGGGAGGCAGTATGGGGAATAGAGAGGGGAGGCATGGCCTGGGGAAGAGACAGACAGGAGTGGGGAGTCCTAGGAAAGGCGTTGATTTTGTAGATCATGGGGAGCCATTAAGTCTTCTGGAAATCCCAGGCCCAGGAGAGGCTCTGACCCTCCCCTCCCCCATCTCCTATTCTGGGAGGGAGGGGGCTATCAGAAGGTAAGCTAAGTCAGTGAGAGAGAGAGAGAGAGAAAAGCAAGTGCAGGAGAGGGAGCCCAGAGATGGCGCTAGCTCCCATGTAGTTAGGTGTTGGGCAGTGCTATGCTGGATTTGTGTGAACTGGCTGAATGTGTCATGGGTCCTATCTGTGCCCACGTGCTGTTATGGGCACCACCCATACATTGGACTGTGGGGCTGACACATGGCACATGCTCTCTTGACCCTGGCCCATGCAGGGGAAAGGAGAAAAGTTTGAAATAGCTTAGAGATCACCCTGGAGGTTGGTGGGGTGGGACACCAGCCCTGGAGAAGGCAGGAGGATCCAGAGGTGGGGGCTTCCCCCACCCCCAAGAAGGCACAGACAAGACTCCCCAAAACCCATCGAGCACCTCCCTACCCCCTTGCCCTGGGTCCTGACTCAGCTCTGGGGCTGGCAGGCCCTGGAGGAGGTACAGGGAGGCCCAAGGCTGAGCCCTGCCCAGTGACCCAGGAGAAAGGGGGGCAAGGGGCAACACTAGATTGCTGGGACTGATCCTTCCCCAGGATGACTCTGGATCCACAAGGGCCCTTCCTCTGGCCACTACTCACAAGTGCTCACTAAAGATAGACAGGAAGGAAAGGGCCCGTCAGTAGGAAGAGGGGAGGAGCCCCCCCCCCACCAGCCCTGCCAAGACTCCACCCTGTACTGAGGGACCTCCCTGAGCCCCACCTCCTCAGAACAGATCTGGGCCTTGCAGGGAGGGAGCATCCCTTAGTTGGTTTCCACTAGTAGCCCGGTAAGGCAAGTTCCAATGATATGCCCTCTCTAGGTGGCTCCCACTCCGCCTATCTGATCTGGGGGGAGGGGTACCCTCTCCCCATCATCCCTACAGACCCTGCCCAGGGGGGCCCACTAAGATCCCCTGTTGGGCCTACTCAGTTGGGCCTACCTGGCTATCCGAGACAGGATCTCCTTGATGCGCACGATGAGCTTCTCATGCTGCAGGGGGTCCCTCTCAATGGCCCCATGCAGCTTGGCCATATAGAAGTCCAGGGTACTAAGTGTTGGCGTTTCCCCAGTGCCTGGTGGGAAAAAAAAGGGAGAATGCCAGGGTCCTGAAGACGATGTGTTCCCCACCCCCCACCCAAGGGTGTGTCTTGGCAGGTAGAAGTGGGATTCCTCAAGAGAGACACCTGGGTCGAGTCCAGGGCCCCATGCAGGTGTGGGACATGCCAGGAGGCCCAGCCACCGAGAAACAGAGCGGCTCACCAGGTACAGGCAAGGAAGCAAAGCTGGCCGTGAGCGCCTGGCGGACAGCTCGGAGCTGCTGCTGCAGGGCCAGGGTCCGGCGCTCCTCCCTGGCTACCTCCTGCTCCAGCCGCTCCCGGGCACTGCTCATGCTCTGAGTGTGACGCTGGAGGACCGCGTTCTGCTCCTCAAAGGCCACGTTCATCTTCCTCAGACGCCGGAGCTCTGCTTCCCTGGCTGGAAGATGGCAAGCCCCCTCAGAGCCTGCACCCCCAGCTAAAAGCCACCTCTAGGCTCAGCCCAGATATTCAATCCAAAGCCATTATCAAATCTCTCTCTCCTCCAAGGCCCAGCTCAGGGTCTGCTCCTGAAGGAAGCCCACTCTCCTTGAGTCCCAGGAATCTACCCTTTAGTCAGACAAGGCTGGAGCAACCAAGGACCATCGAGTCCATTCCCCTCAACTTACACGTAGGGTGAGATTTCTAAGAACTGACATCGACAAGGTTGGTGAAGCACTTTACAGCTGTTATTCTACCTGATTTTCAAACTCATCCAAGCCCCCAAGTACAGCCTGAACCAGATCAAAATGTAATTGGGAAATGTTGAAACAAAAATGCCAGACAACACAGATGACTCATTTCTATTTGGGTTTGACAGCAACACTCACAACAACCTGGGTAGGCCCTACAGGTCTTATCCCCATTTGAGATGGGGAGATGAGAAAACTGAGGCAACAAGAGGTTAAGTGGCATGCCTACAGTCACACAGCTGGTGAATGCCAAAGGTTGGGTTTAAAGCCAGGCCTCTCCTGATTCCGAGTCCAGCACTCGTGCCATACTGCCACACAGAGGGGAATTGAAAGGAGTTGCCCACAACATTTCCAATGCTACTTGGGAAAGGAATGACCATGGACTGCCCCATGCCTCTGCCCAGGATCTCTGTGACTCTGTGACCAGACTGCCGAGCCTCAGTCGGTCAACAAGTATTTATACAGCTGCAGCTACAAAGAAGGGAAAAACAAACACAGCACAGGTCCCTGCTCTTAAGGAATCTGAAGTCTGATGGGCCACTAACACCCTTCCCTTCCTATCTCCAGCACTCAGCGCGGTGCTTGGCACATAGTAAGCCCTGAACAAATGCTTGTGACTGGCTCCTCCCTCCTTCAGACCCATTCATTTTAGGCCTCCTGGGTCCATATCTAAGGCCCCTCTTCCTCCTCCCCTGTGCCTCGGGGCAGTCCTAGAAGATTCTCCCTCTTAGAACCCACAGCTTACTTCAAGAATCAATGCACTGCCTTCAAAGACTCTTCACTGCTCCCCTCCGTTGTGGGTGCTTCCTTCCCCTAACCATGGTGCATCTTTGTATGCATCCTGTATTTAATTATCTGTGAACATGCGGAATCCCCCAGGAGAATGTAAGCTCCTTGAGGGCAGGGCTATTTGTATTTGTGTTCCCAGGGCTTGGCCTTAGGCATTTAAGAAATGCCTGCTGAGTCAGGACTCGAACCCAGGTCTTCTGGCTCAAAATCTGGTCCACTTTCCACTATCCCCTGGCTTATAAAGCACTTCCCTCCTCATCCTCTAAGGAAGGTAGTTACAAGAATTATTACTGCTATGTTAAAGATGGGGAAACAGGTTCTGTTCTGGTAGTGTAAGTGTCCAGGGTCACAGATGGTGGGATCAAGAGCTGGAGGAGACTTTAACATTGCCTGGTCAGTGCCCAGGCCCAGGAGTTTAAATGATTTGCATGTGGTTACTGGACCAGTAAATGTTAATGGCCATGTGGGACTAGCACCCAGGCCTTCTCAATCTCAGCCCAGGATGGTCGGTCTCCTGTCCTGTGCTGACCCTCACAATAAAGATTCTCTCCCACTCACCCCTCTGAGGTGCAAAGATGGTTATTCCCATTTTGCAGATGGGAAAACAGACTCAGACTGGCACAGAGTGCCAGTGACCGATCAGGACTGAACACAGCTCATCTGATCTCAGTGCTTCCTTCATGTGCATCCACTCACCAGTCAGACCTGCTGGGGGTGGGTGGAGGGGAAGGGAGGAGGCCTTCTCTGTCTCCTCTCTCTAGGATGGACAGTATAGTCATCGAGAGTGAAAGAATGAGCCTTTGCCTGATTGCTTCTAGCCTCTTTCACTGATTCTGGACAGTTACCTCCTGCCAGCTGCCCCATCCCCACAGCTCTGGGTGGCCTCCTGAGAGCTCTGGTCAGCCCTCTGTCTTCTTGCCAGAGTCCTGGGATGCAGCAGGGTCAGAGGGTCAGCTGTGGCCAGGGTGGACACTCCAGGCCTGATTCCCTCCCCTCTCCTCCTGCCACCCGATCCCTGCCCCCAACGACATATGGCTTTATGTCACCTTGCCCGTGACCCAGAGAGGGCAGAAGGAGGAGGAGGCTCACTGAGCATGCCTCACCTTTGTTCTGGTCCAAGAATTCCTCAGTAAAGATGGGGACATCAAAGGTAGAGAAGCCATCAAAGTCCCCGCCCTGGAGGGTGGCAGAGGAAAGCAACATTCCTGGGGTTGGCAGAGAAGAAACAGACCTCTCCCTGGCCCCAAGAGGCCCCTCCCAGGCTTTCCGGGCCCACATAGGGGTCAGCCCAGCTCGGCAGTGCCCTCTTCTGGCACTCACATGGCAGGCCCTCCTTCCCAACAGCATAGGTCACAAACCACTCCTCCCTCCCCTCCCTGCCTGTAGCATGAAGCAGAGCCCCCTCCCCCAGAATTCCCAGGGCCCTACCTTGTGTCCATTCAGGAGGGTGTTCATGGCTGACGCTCCTGGGTCCTCTAAGGGGAAAGGAGAAGCAGGTGAGGGTCTTGGAGAGTTGGAAAAGGAATAAGGTACACCTTGGGAACCCCGCCCCTAATACACACACATATACACCTACCATACATACATACATACACACGTGTGCATGTTCACATACCCACATGCATATATGCCCACACACATACAGACACATATAGATACCCCCCCTCACACACACACACACACCTTTCTTGGCTTTCTTCTCCTGGAGTTTCTCTGCACACATCTTGTACGCCTCAGACTGCTGGTATTCACGGAGCTCCTTCATGTACTGCTGTTTTTCCCTCTCTGCCTCATCAAGGTAACGCTAGGGACAGAGATAGGGACCACATGGGAGGGCTGCTGGTGCATGGGCAGGGAAGGCAAGGGAGGAAGGGGTGGGAATCCTCTTTGGGCTGGATCCCCTTAGAAGGGAAGACCCTGGCTGGGATTCACTAGAGGAGAAGGAGAAAGAGGAGGTAGAGGCATTGATGTAGAAGAAAATCTAGCTCTGGAATAAAGGGCCTATGTTTGAGTCCCGCCCAGGGTGTATCACCTTGGACAAGTCCCGTGGCCTCCCAGGGCCTCAGTTTCCTCATCTGTAAAATGAGGAGCCTGTACTAAGCAGCCTCTGAGGTTTCCTCTAGCTGTAAAGCTAGTATCCAAGGATCCACTACAGAAAATTGATGGAGAAACCTACACCCATGCAGGAAGAGCCTGGTGGCCAGTTCCAAGGGCTTCTGGGAAATCCACAGTTTCCAGGGAGGGGTCTCAGGTTCCCACCTGCTTGTCTGTGGGTTGTAGCTTGCTCCACTCAGCCCCCAGCATCTTAGTGATCTCAGGGAAGGGCAGGTCTGGGTGCAAGGTGCGGATCTGCTCCCGTCGCTCATTCAGGAAGCGAACGTAACCAGTGACCGGTGCCTTTGGCCCATTGGGAAGAATCTTCTTCCTCTTTTTACCTTTGGGCCAACCTCGCTTCTTCACAGGCTAGGAGGAGAAAGGCAGGGATAGTGACCTCCGGGGAAAAGGCAAAGAGCAGGCAGAAAGCCAGGGCCCCTTCTCCCACAAGCCGCAGGCACTCACCTCCTCTTCTGAGTGCCCTTTCTCCATGCCGCTGGCCCGAGGACCCTCCATTTTCTCCTGCTTCACCGGAGCCAGCCCTGCAAGGCTCCCCAGATGCTGCTGTCCAGGGACCTTCCCGTTGCTTGGCCTGAAATCCAAGCCATCCATCTGTCAGGATTCCAACAGAGCCTCCCCTGGGCCCCACGCCCATTCCCATCCCCACCTTCACTTAAAGAGAAAAAGGGTGGGGGAGCAGAGAGAAACCAGTGGGGACCACAGGGACTAAGTCAAGCCAGGGCAAGAAGCATTTATTAACCGCTTACATGGGCCAAGCACTACTAACGACTGGGGTGCCAAGAAAAGACCCTGCCTTCTGGGAGCTCACAGTCTAATGAGGGAGACGCGGAAGCAGCTGCGTACAAAGGTGAAATAGGGTGGACAGAAGGTAATCTTAGCAGAGCCCCGCACGGACCACAGAGCAGAACCTTCTGGAGACCCCGACACCCGGACCCCCAGGGCCTGGCCCCGGGGGAGCATCCTACAAACTCGCGACTCACAGGAAGCCTGGGACTAGCTGCTTGGGGCTCTGGGACATGACTGACAGTCCTCTCCCGTCGCTGCCGCCGCCGGTGGGGGGGGGGGGCCTCTACGAACCTGAAAGATAAGAAAGCCCACCCAGGCAGGTGGGGTAGGGGAGTGGGAGGGAGGCACTGCCCCAGGCCCTGGCTGAGTGCAGAGATTAGGGTCTGGCAGCCTCAGTCTCCACTTCTGTAGAATGGGTTAGACAGGGATACTCCTCCCCAGACTCCTAACCCAGACGCATCACTCATCATCCACAGAGCGCTTAGAGATCTCAGAGGACAGCGTCTGGGGGCGGGGCTTGGGGGGCGGGGAGATGAAACTCCCTAGGTTGGAGGAGGGGGGAGGGGGATGGATCCCACGGCGTGCGAGTGGGGCACACAGCTGGATCCTGCGGATCCCCCCGGGTCCCCTCCAAGCCCAGGGCAGCGGGAGGGAGGGGAGGAACCCGGTGGATCCCTTTGTTGGGGGATCTCCTCCCCCCCACCCGGCGAGGGAATCCTGCCCACCTCCCCGGCTTCCCCGGCTCCCAGCCCCGATCCCTTCGCCCCCGAGCCCCCCAGGGCCACGATCGCCCCCGATCCCCAAGTCCCGCGGCAGATTTTACCTCCTGAGCAAACTTTCTTGGATCTTCGGGTTCGGACTCTCAACCGCCCTTGGCCACGCCCCTCGCCCCGCCTCTCCCGGGTCCATCGCCGGTAGGGAAGGGGCCCCGCCCCCGACTCACGCTCCCATGCTAATAAGCGGGGCCACGAGCTCTGGGATTGGACCCGGTCTCTGGCGCGGGGCAGGGCCATGTAAATAGGACCACAAAGCGACTAAGGGATTGGTTGCAAAGGGGCGGGGTTTCGGGTTGGGCGGTGGAGCGTAAGGCTAAAAGTGCGTCAAGTTTGGCTGCGCCCGACCAGATTCGGACCAATCCGGGGAGAGTGCCTCCTTAAGGGGCGGGTCTTCTGAAAGGGCAGGAGGCCGACCCGAATACTCCAGCCTCTCTCGTCCACTCTTAAGAAGCCCGCTTAACGGAACGAAGGCTTACGCCCGGGTAGCCTGTTGGTCACCGAGCAGCCGCCGGGGGGCCGGACCTGAGTCTTGGCGAGTCAAAGTTTTGCATCCCACGGAGAGAGCGTGCTTTGAGATCCTCAGAATCCCAGCTCCTTCGAGTGTCTGTCTGTAAAATGAGGTTTGGTTAAAGCGAACCCCAGAATTTGCGGTTTGGGGGTGCCATCTAGTCCCACTGGCATCTGAACAACATTCTCCTTAATAAGGTTCCTTGAGCAAAGGTCGTGCAGCCTGGGCTTGAATACCTCCAATGACTGGAGAGCCCACTACTTCCTTCCCAAGCAACTCTTTGCACGTTTGGACGTCTGTCTCTAGTTAGGAAGTTTGTCGAATTGTCTTTATGCTGCTGACTCCTTGCAAAGCACTTTGCACGTATAAAAGAGACTGCTAATAAAGCATTATGTAGGGGTTGATCAGGATCTGATCAGCCAGACAAGGTTATAACCAGTCAGCCAAAATTTATCAAGTCAAAAAGTATGTATTGCGCACCTACTGCGAGCCAGGCACTCTGCTTAGCACTTTACTGGAGGCATAAAGAAAGGCGAAAACAGCCCTTGACTAGAGCTCACGATCTAGTAAACAAGTACCTGTTACGCTCCAGGCATTGTACTAGTCTCTAATGCAAAAAAAAAAAGATAGAAATACAAAAGTGAGACTATCCTTGCTCTCAAAGAATTCTGGAGGAAACATGTCCAAGGATCCGTTAATTCAGGATATATACAAAATAGAAGCACAATGAATTGGGAGAGTAAGAACTGCTGGAGGAATAGAGCCTTGAAGAGAACCAGAAGTTCCAAGAGGCCAAAAGGAAAGAGTACAATTGTAGTCAATGGTCGATAAACACCTACTGTGTGCTGAGCCCAGGGGATACAAATAGAAAGACAGTTCCTACTGTCAAGGAGCTTACAATCTAATGGAAGACAGTACTCAAAAGGAAGCTGAAAGGGCTGGGTGGAGAAAAGAAGGGAAACAGAGGTGATGGAGAGATCTAAAGAAGTCCAACAGCAGTGAAGCTGATGGGGAATGAGAAGACCGTGGTGAGGTCCTGGGAGCCCATAGTCCTGTTCTCCATTCAGAGGGTCCAATCAAAGGGACAGAAGGTAGTGATGAGATGTGAATATTAGGCAGATCCGATCTTTTTTTTTATGTTGTACTATATTTTTATTTATTTTGTTAAACATTTCCCAATTACATTTTAATCTGGTTCTACCTGCTGAGGAGTTTTGCAAGAAGGCCAGAAGTTTGACACCTCTGGTCTATGGTAATTCACCAACTAGCTGCCCTACATTGGGAAGGATCCATACCTAAACCCACCCACAGGTTACACTTTCTCACAGCTGTCTCACAGTTCCTTTTTTTTTTGAAATTATAATTATCTTTATTTTTTCCACTTAATAGTATTTTATTTTTTCCATTTACATGTAAAGATAGTTTTCAACATTCACTTTTATAATATTTTGAGTTCCAAATTTTTTCTCCCTCCCTCCTCTCTTCCCCCCTACCCAGGGTGGCAAGCAATCTGACATAGGTTATACATGTACAATCATATTAAACATATTCCCACATTAGTCATGTTGTGAAAGAAGAATCAAAACAAAAGGGAAAAACCATGAGAAAGAAAAAAAGAGAGAAAATAGTCTGCTTCAATCTGTATTCAGACTCCGTAGCTCTCTCTCTGGATGTGATAGCATTTTCCATCATGAGTCTTTTGGAATTGTCTTAGATCACGTTATTGCTGAGAAGAGCTAAGTCTATCGAAGTTGGTCATCACACAATGTTTTTGTTACTATGTACAATGTTCTCCTGGTTCTGCTCACTTCACTCAGCATCAATTCATGTAAGTCCAGATTTTTCTGAAGTCCACTTGCTCATCATTTCTTATAGCACAGCAGAATTCCATTACATTCATATACCACAACTTGTTCAGTCATTCCCCAATGGATAGGCATCCCCTCAATTTCCAATTCTTTGCCACCACAGAAAGAGCTGCTATAAATATTTTTGCACATGTGGGTCCTTTTCCCATTTGTATGATCTCTTTGGGATATAGCCCTAGAAGTGCTATTGCTGGGTCAAAGGGTATGCACATTTTTATAGCCCCTTGGGCATAGTTCCAAATTGCTCTCCAGAATGGTTAGACCAGCTCACAACTCCACCAACAACGCATTGGCGTTCCAATTTTCCCACATCTTCTCCAACATTTATCATTTTCCTTTTCTGTCATATTAGCCAATCTGATAGGTGTGAGGTAGTACCTCAGAGTTGTTTTAATTTGCATTTCTCTAATCAATAGTGATTTAGAGCATTTTTTCATGTGACTGTAGATAGCTTTAATTTCTTCATAGGCAGATTCAATCTTACAGGGTAGTGAGATTTCCCACCTTGAACATGAGTAGAGAGATGAGGATAGATGAAAGAAATGTTGAGGAGGAATCGACAAGATTTGGCAGTTCATTGGATAGCGGGAGAAGGGGAATGAGTAAAGAGTCAAAGATGATTAGAGGTTGTCAGGATGGCAGGAAAAATGATGATATATTAGACACAATAAAGAAGTTAGGAGGAGAGGTGGGTTTAAAGAAATAGATAATGAATTCTGTTTTGGACATGTTGAGTCTGAGATGCCTATGGAAAACTTCAAAAGGAGATTCAGACTGAATGGAACTCAGGAGGGAGATGTGAGCTAGATATACAGGTTTGAGAGTCAGCCTTATATAGATGATAGCTAAATCCATAGGGGATAATGAGATCACTTTGAGAGTATAGAAAAGGAAGAGGAGGAATCCTAGGACACATCCCAACCTTAGGGAGCACCCTTGCTTGGCAGAGAGCCAGAGAACCTGTAGAGAGGACTGAGAAAGGTCAGACTGGTGGAAAGAGAACCATGATAGAGCAGTGTCATGAAAACCCAGAGAGAAGAGACTTCATAAACTTGTCAACGTTTTTAAATGTTGCAGAGAGGTCAAGAAGGATAGAATCTAAGAAAAGGCCATTGGATTTATCAATAAAGGGTTCATTGATGGGCTTGCAAAGAACAGTTTCATGGAAAGGCAAGTAGGAGGTAAGAAAGTGGAGTCTAGAAGTACAAGCAGCATTTTCTAGAGTTTAAACTGTGAAAGGGAGGCAAGACATAGGATGATGGCTCAAGGGGATAAGAGGGTCAAGTGGAGGATGTCTTTCAAGGATGGGAAAGATGGAAGATCTGGAAGACAAGCCTTAGCCGCTGCCTCTCCATGGCTGGAGCCAGGACCTTTTGCCATTCCTTCCCTGTCCCTTGACCATTGCTATTTCTTGGAACTAAATGATGAGGTTACCGGAGGGGAGTTGAGGAGAGGGATGATATGGAACCCCATTGGAATCCTACCTATAACACTAATCCTTTCCCAGTCACTGTTACTTAATCACTGATCATCCGTCATCAGTGAAGTGAAGGCAAGAACTGTCTTTTGCCTCTTGTTGTATCTCCAGCTCTTAGCACACTGTCTGGCACATAGTAGGCATTTAAAAATGTTTATTGATTGAAATGAGTATCGATTGAACTAACACCCAGGTACGAGAAACATCTTCCTCTTCCCAAGGAGATGCCAGTTGGAATATGTACGCCCTTCATAGGAAGATAGGATCAGAGTCGCAAAGTGTCAGCTCCCTATAATCTCAGTTTGTTGATGGGGTTCCCCCACTCAGAACTCCTACACCTGAAATGAAATGACTCAAGTTTAAATTTGGTTTTGCCATTTCCACCCATTGGCCCTCTGGAGCCAAGGAAAACAAGGCTAATCTCTCTTCCATTTCTCAGTTCCTCAAATACTGACAGATAGCTATTATAAGTCTCCCTAGTTTCCTTCAGAGTAAACTTCCTTAGTTCCTTTTATAGATTAATATGACATGATCGTCATCATCTTGGTCATAATCCCGTGGTCTCTCTCTAGTCATGCCTTAGAGTGCCTCTAGCTGAACATAATACTCCATATTTGGTCTCACCAAAGATTACCACCTACCTAGTGCCACCTATGATCAAATTAGCTTTTGGGGCTAATATAACTTACTGTTGTTTAGCTTGTAGTCCACTAAGGCCCCTAAATCTTTTTCAAATGAACTGCTATCCAGCCATGCCTCCTCTATATTATACTTTTGAAGGTAATTTTTTTAGTTGTTCTTGAGTCATTTTTTCAGTCATATGCAACTCTTCAAGACCCCATTTGGGGTTTCTTGGCAAAGATGTTGGAGTGGTCTGGCATTTCCTTCTCCGGCTCATTTTACAGATGGAGAAACTGAGGCAAACAGCATTTAAGTAACTTGCCCAGGTTCACACAGCTGTAAATGTCTGAGGGTAGAACTCAGGAAGATGAATATTCCTGACTCCAGGCCCAGCACTCTACCCAATGCACCACCTAGCTGTCATTTTTTTTTCAGACCCA